ATAAAAATTTTTTTGTATTCGCTTCCGAACGAAATGGAAAAAGGTCACAAAAATGTTTAAATTTGTCTAGCCATGATCCAAAACCGAAGATTTTCGGAACTGCTCCATAATGCAGATTAGTAGTAGAATTATTATTAGACTAATAATCTGTATTATAGAGCGGTCCGAAAAACTTTGGTTCCGTATCAGCTTCAGAAAGTTTGATAATTTTTCAAAGTTTCATTAGACAAAAACGGCATTAAATTCCCAAAAAAAATTTTTCTTAAATTTTGCTTTGCCAACTTCCTTATTTTATAAAAAATATTTAAAATTATGCATAAAATTTCCTCCAAAATTTTTCTAAGAATTTAGTTTAGCAGCTTATGTATTTAATAATTAGAGCCCGGATTTTTATGCATTAAAAAATGCAAAATATGCACTATAATATGCATAAAAAATTGCCAAAATATGCACAAAAATATGCAAGTAAACCAAAATATACACGCATATATGCATGAAAAATACCATTTATACCTAGAAATTTTACATATTTTTAGTCAAAATGATTTAAAATACATTTTTTTATTAAGATTTCTCCTATTTTAAATGTATAGTTCGACAAATTGAGCATTTTTACGGTGTTGGGCATTTTGAAATGAGGCATTTTGGTGGTGGGACATCTTGGGGTGCGACGTTTTGGGGCTGAGACATTATGGGGGTGAGCCATTTTCTGGCGAAACCAATAAACGCAAAAAAATTTTTTACAAAATTTGTAATTTTTACAAATTTTTTCCTAAATTTTTATTAAATTTTCACTTTTTGGCAGGATTTTAGGCAATTTTCGCAATATTTTCCCCAAAAACATCAAAATATGCAGTAAAATATGCATTATGCAACAAAGTCCGGAATATGCAAAAATATGCATTATATGCAAATAGAAACCCCCTCTAAAGTTTTCAAAACTTGCGGAAACAGTGTTTTTTGTGCATAACACATCATGAAAAGTTTGCAAAAAAAATATGCATTTGCATAAAAATCCGGGCTCTACTAATAATAAATAAGAGTTGTTAGGAAAGAAAAATGGTGGTTATTGGAATATATACATATAAAGTAATCTCCTATTTCCTCCCTTAAAAAATAAAAAAAAGAAAGAAAATGTGCGCAGAGTAAAAAAAACATTTTTTCTATAAAAACAAGTAAAAAATAAAAATATAAAAAAAGTGCCAAAAGAATTTTCTTTTTTTTACTAATCCAATTTGCGTCAAGAGGAAAATGTTAAAATTGGAATAGTTTCAAGTTAAATAAGGCATGGAAATCTGAGAAAAGAGAGTCGAATTTAAACGAGAAAATGTTGCAGAAAAATGAAAAAAAGTTTTCATAAATAGAACAATTAATTTTTGAAAAATTAAAAGAAGTTAATAAAAATTTGAATTGAGTTGATAAAAATTAAAATAATAAAATTTATTAAATTTGAATAGGCTGGGAAAGATATGAGCTTAAAGCTTGCAAAATATTCTAGATTCAAGTTAATTTCCAGAATTTTATAAATAGAGATTTAAGATAGAATAATGAATACTAATTGAGTATGAAACTATTTTTTACAAAATATTTTTAAATTTTGTTTGCCAAAAGTTGACTTTATAATAATGTTTTGATTTTATAATTAGGTAATTTAATCACTGGTGATCGTTAGTAAGAACTTGATTCATAAAATAAAATAATAAAATGAGAGAGGGAATTATTAGTTGATAGAGAATTTTTAAAAATAAAAAGAAGAATGAATTTTGTTTTAATATTTTTGAAAATAATTCTAATTAATATTATTTTCTTGAATTTACCTTTTTGTCTTTTCATAACACGTATAGGCCTTAATAAATCATGCCCATTCAATGAAAGAATCCTTAAATCGCCGTGGAAACGAAACAAATGCTCTAAATTATCTGAAAGGAAAAAAAATAATTTTAATAGAAAATATTTTTATACAAAAAATTTAAAAATTTTACTTGCGATTTTGAAAGTTCCAATAGGTTGGGCAATAGCTATTTCATTGATAGAGAGAATTAAAGGTTTGTTTTCAATATTATTTAGTAATTCTGTCAAAAATTAGTTAAAATTATTAATTTATTTTTAATAAAGACACATACGATTATGCCATTTTCCATCTAATTTTAACCCCATTCGTTGTCCCCTTCTTATCAGCTTGAGTGAATGCCAATGTATATTATTTGTAATGTTTGCAGAGCTCAGATTAAAAGTCTATAATTTGATTATTTTGATAAATACATTCAACAATTGTGAACTGATAGATCTATGACACCCCCCCCCAGTTGTTAAGATCATGCATCTGTGATGTCTACAGGAGCGAGCTGCCTCCGGAGCTTGCTCTGGAGACTCGGCCGATCCTAAACAAAAATGGAAAGGGCTGGACGACCTTTTCTACGACCTTTTTTGGACGACCTTCTTTTTGGACGCCTGGACAACCTTTTCTATATACCAGATCCTTTCTCTATCAGATTATAACCTTTTATTATTAGGTCATTCTTTAATAAAATCAACCAACACTTTGCTCATTTCCTTGAAATACCCAATGTACAATTAATCCTCCACTCCCAGTAATTGCTACCAACAAACGTTGTTTCTCTTCATCCTCTTTGTTTATAATATCAGATTTTGTATCAATTAAAACAAAAAGTTTTTTCTGTTTATTTAATTCGTTTGAAGATATTCCAAGCTTTGGACGAAATTTAATTTCCAAATTTTCCGCTTCCAACTGCCAAGAGTCAGAAAAATGAAATTTGGCTGAGAGAGATTCTGGAAGTGGGAAAGGCAAAGGACGAGGCTCTAGAAAATTATTTAAAATTATTTTTTCAAAAATCTCTTTGAAACTTTGTTGACAATTAATTCCATCAAAAGGCGTGTCAGAACAATCACAGTGATATGAATTGTGATATGATGAACAAATACCCCCATTTTTACATGGATTCTTGCGGCCCGGCTTTTTACAAAAATCAACAGAAAAAGAGAAGGGACAACCAAGTGAGATTGCTTAAAAATAATGTTAAAACAAAATTTTATATAATGGTAAAAGTCAGATTGATTCATAATATTTTCCTAAAATCTCACAATCTTTAAAGCTTATTTTATTTATTCGATTATTTTCGGACTTTACGAGATTTTCGGAATTTTTCTATACGGAATTACGGGACATTCCTGTACGAGAGTTTATAGGATCCAGTCCAGTGTTTCCGTGATTTACGAAATTAATCCCACGGGATACCTCGCATCCAATCTTAGAAATTATGCGATCCCAAGTAAGCGTTCAATCTCCCTAGATTAATTGCCCATCATATCGTTATGTTAAAACAATAATTACACAGTGTAAGTTTTCAAGGAAATTCGGTATTTTATTTGTGGGGAATAAATATTTTAATAATTACATTTATTTATTTTTGATGAAAGACTTTCAGTTGGATTTTCCGTTGGTAATAATTTTGTTGAATGAAACATATGTGCAATCTCGATATTTATGCCATTTAAACGAATATTTTTCATACAACCAAAAAAGCCTTGACGAAGATTTATTGTCCAAACCTTTAAATATTTATAAAAATAAAGTTGTAAATTCACTTTATTGAGGAAGTTTTATTCGTGTTGGTGTTAGAATCCCAGTATGATAGAACTATTATCTCAACTAGAACGATACTAACTAATAGAGCCACCAGTAATGAGTTTGAGCATTTTTGATGCCCTGACATTTTTATTTGTGACTCTGGATATTTTAGACTTAGCTATGGCCGGTTCTGAATCCGGTCTAGCTCCAGAAACCATACCCAACGCCGGTGCCTTTAAAAATGAAAAATTGAGTGTAATACCACCTAATAGGTATTATAAATAAGATTATTTACAGATGAAGGAAAATTTCTTTTAATTTCAACAGGTTCTCCCATTTCAATGACTGTTACAGCTTCAACTTGATGATTATTTTCATTTCCTTGATCAAACGAAAACAGATCAGGCCAAGGGACAGCTCCAAGGAATATTGGTTCATCTATACAAATTTAAATAAATTATAACAACATTCATGTTTCACCAATATCTAAATTTGCCGAGATTCCAGGACAGGAGAATTCAGTTCGGAGTGAATCAACTGAGATGAACCCTTAATAAATTAACATTTTTGATAAAAAACAATCAAATTTCATTAAAAAATCCAATCCACCTTTGCGTCCACCCCTTTCCATAACAACGCTATGCCATAGGCCATCGTTCAGGGATTTTGCAGAGGCCTTGAAATGTGATAAGAATTTTAATTTTTAATCATCTCTTCTAAAACATTAATTACCTGAAGTCGAATATCACCAGATCCAAGATTTACTATCATCTTAAAACTGTCTTAAATAAATTATTTTAAATCTTAACTCACAAATAAATGTCCATCAATTAATTCAAAAGCCAAATAATCACATATTGTAAAATTCCTGCATTGTGCCATTCCATGATATAAAAGTAAGCCATCAGGGGTCAGTGTTCGGAATTGGAAGGCTTAAAGTACTAAATAGTATTTACAGCATAAGATAATGTATATGCTATGAAATTAGTTTTAAATCTCCCATTAAATCTCGGTATCTCTCTCTATCTCTCACTCTTATCACTCTCTCACTCTCCGAAATATGGTCTCTCACTCACTATGATCACTCTCTTCTTTCAGAAAGCCCAGTTATCGGAATAGAATTTTTCATTATCACTCTCTCACTCTCCGAAATATGGTCTCTCACTCACTATGATCACTCTCTTCTTTCAGAAAGCCCAGTTATCGGAATAGAATTTTTCATTATCACTCTCTCACTCTCCGAAATATGGTCTCTCACTCACTATGATCACTCTCTTCTTTCAGAAAGCCCGGTTATCGGAATAGAATTTTTCATGAAACTAGTAAGATTCACGAACGACGCTGGTCTCTATATATGAAATAATAAAAGGACAATTAAAAAGCATCGAAATTAACTTTGTATTTTGATTTTCTAAAAACAAAATTTCTCCAAAAACAAACCTAAAGTTCCACGAGATGGAGAACGCCAAGGAGGTAATTTAGTATAATTATTTTCATTATTAAAAGAGAAAACCAAAGGAGCATTTTGAGCACTTGGCATACAAGAAAATGTAAGGTCACCAAAAGTTTGGACTTTAAAATTATTTTTTATGATTCAACTTTAATGGAAATATTATTTGTTATTTATCACTTTTATTAATCTTTTAAATAAAATCTTTACTAAATTAATATAATCTTTATTCAAAAAACACACCATTAGATTGTCCAAATCCTTGATCTGCCAATTGAATTAAATTTAGTTCAACAGGACCCGATTGGAAAAATATCTGAAAGCTTAGTTAAATATGAAGTTACTTTTAATCATTATTTGGAGAATTAAAAATAAATATTAATCTGTATGTGTCTAATATAAAAGATCAGTCTTGATCGAGATCTGAATTACAGTCGCTTCCTATCCTTGATCAACAATACGTAATTACATAATTGGGCTGTAGTGTAGTTCACCGGAGGTAAAAGTTCGGGACGAAACATATGTCATTCGATTCGTCTCGGCGAGCTGAGTCGAACGGTACCACTCCCAATTTCAGGAAATGATTCTGGACCGAGTTATAGGTCACGAAAGATCGAAAAACAAAAGGGGGGACCAAGCACTTTTTTGGGGTGAAAAATTCGAATATGCAAATTATACCTCATTCGAAAGAGCTCGTCGAGCTGAGTCGAATGACACCAAAATCAACAAAATCCGACTTGATTTGACAAAGTTATGACCGTTTGTTTTAGCTCCCTACCTATGGCATCTGTGGAGATTTTTGCTGCTACGGAGGCCCCAAATACGTCCAGAGCAAGGGAGATAGCAATAGGTTTATGTACGAGCCCAGACCCAGCGCCCGTAGACTCCCCGCGAGGCGCGTGCCGCAAAACCCCGCGCGAAGCGCGGGGTTTTGCACAAGCGCCTCGCCGATGCTCCATAGGTTTAGGTTTTTTGTTTTTTGTATCATAACTTTGTTTAATCTTATTCAATCACGGTGATTTTGGTGTCTTTTGACTCAGCTCGTCGAGCTCTTTCGAATGACGTATTATTTGTATAAAAAATTTTTATTCCAAAAATTGCCCCTTTGGATCTTCGAATTTTAGAGGTCTATATCTCGGTCCATTCAAGTCGGATTTCGTTGATTTTGGTGTCATTCGACTCAGCTCGACGAGCTCTTTCGAATGAGGTATAATTTGCATTTTCGAAATTTTCACCCTAAAAAAGTGCTTGGTCCCCCCTATGGTTTTTCAATTTTTCGGGACCTATAACTCGGTCCAGAATCATTTCCTGAAATTGGGAGTGGTACCGTTCGACTCAGCTCGCCGAGACGAATCGAATGACATATGTCACGTCTCAAACTTTTACCTCCGTGAACTACACTATATCCCATAATTGTTATCTTGTATTTACTCTTGTGATAAAGATAGTATTCTATTCCAGTGTTATTCTGTTAGCGAATGGGCTTGGTTGCATCCTATTACTCGACAATTTTTCAGTAGAACCTCGATCCAAGGGATTAAAAAATTGAGGTAAAATTGACTGATCAAGACCAACAGTATATCTTTTTCTAGCACTATATTCTTTTAAAAACACCTTTTTTAGGCATCCACGAAAAGGTAATAAATGTTCTGATGGCATTAAGTGCCTCAAAGTTTGAGGCACACCTCCAACAAAAAAGAAAGAATTTCCTAGCCATTTTAATCGTGGAGTGAATTGTAAAACTTTTTGATCAAAAATGTCATCAACAATTAGGCGAATCTTTAAAAATTTAATTTTAAATTAATTATTTATCAAGGAAAAATGAAAGAAAAAATTTTCAAGAAAAATAAATGCCTAGAATGGCCACAGCAAATAAAAGTTTTAAAAAAGTTAAGAAAAGGATTTTAAAAAGAAGTGCTCCTTAACAGAATTTTTTGATTTAATACTGCAATACAAAAACGGAAACAGAAAAATATTTTTTCGTGAATTGTCGGCAGACCTACCGTAATGACAGCACCTTTAAATCCAGGCTAGAATTTAAGATTTAGAGATTTAAATATTGTATTTGAAGAAATGCATTTTGTAAAACCTCTAATATCTAAGGTTGAAGGATAAAAAAAGTCCGTATATCCTAAATTTTCGATACTCTATGATCTGGATATCCGAAGATTTACTTATATCCACCACCCTACAAATATTTATACATTTAATTAAGTGTTTTGGTTGGCCTGAGAGGAATTACATAACCTTATAGGAAATAATTAAATATATTCACTCCAATTATATAGATAAGAAGATTAAGGATTGGATTATTTGTCATCTCATGATCAGCGAGAACTCTAATTTTTATCTAAATCCAGAAATTAAAACCTACAGAATTCAGTTCCCTAACAACACAAACACTATGCCATAAATTATTATTAAAATGTAAAGGAAGTCGTTGGTTACGATCTTGAACTCGAATAAGGCGTTTGTCAGTTTCTGCTAATTGATGTGTTGCTTTAAGTTCTCCATTTTCAATTGTTAATTTAAAATTACTCTTAATTTATACTATGAATAATTATGATTAAATTATTTTTTTATTTGATTAAAAATATTTCAACACATACACCTTTCTACACCCTTTCCAGATAATAAATAAAAATAGAATCTCGATGAATTTATAGCCAACTCTACCTATTTTGAGAATCCCGATCCTTCAGGATGGGATTTCGGTGATTGTGGTTTGTCGCGGAAGGAATTCGCGGTTTCGGGTTTTTGCCAAAAAATTGTAAGGATGAACTTTCGTGGTACAAATCGCCACACTGAAATAAACTAACATTTTTCACAAAAATATTTTTATAAAATTACTCTCAATATAAAGCCCAATCAAATTTTTTCATCTAAAATTGAGCCTTATTGGAGGTGGCTCCAATTCAGAGAAAGAGGGATTTAATACAAAGATATGATAATATCTCATTTTTTATTCTAAATCTAACCCTCCCCATAAATATTTAAAAATATACCTTGGAATCCCCAGCAACAAACAGAAGAGAATTTTTAGAAAAATTGGTTCTAAAAGAGATATTAAAAATTTCTCGATGACTTAAAACAGCCAAAAGGTCTTCATCATTAATTCCATTATTATTCCCTTCATTATGTAAATTATCATAGCCTATCCATTCATTTCCAAAAAATGATACTTCTGTGCTTGGCTTTTCTATAAAAATTAATTCATACACTAAATGCTTTAATAAAACCCGGGATACTACTTTTCAATAGAACAATTTGATTAGAGCCATAATAGATATGGGCGTGAGACTGAACATTTATTTTTCATGATCTCCCCGAGTAACTTGTATTATGTATACAAGTATCCTTAGAAATTCCCAAAATGTCAAGAAATCAGAACTTAAAAATTCCTGATTTCTGAAATCTTCAATAAAATATAATCTGGAATTCCTGTCTCTGATTTCCGAAATTATTTTGAAAAATTTGGAATTTTAGGAAATATTGGTATTGTTTTCATTAATTAGGCGATTTTCTCAAGTTTTTGATTTATACCATAAATGGGTAAATGTCCGTTTCGTTCCCTACCTGTCGCAAGGAGAATGCGCATTTTTCTTTCATTCTCTTGCATTTCTTGCGTTAGGTAAGGAACGAAACGGACATTTACCCCATAAATGGATCGAAGCCGGGATTAACTAGGGATTTAAGTAAATTATAATCTTTATTAAATTCTCTCACTATTTTCACATCTTCTCCCTTCATAATTTGAAAAGAAACAATCACAACGAGGACCATTATTTGCACTGTAACACAATCCAGAATTTAAACAAAAGTTATTTTCATCTTTTGATTTGATATGTTTTGAATTGTGTTCTCTAAAGAAAAAATAAATTATATTTTATTATAATTTTCATTAGTATTCCACAATCTAACTGGACGTTTCCGATGATACAGGAGATTACCGATCCGGCTTTTCGTAGCTCCACGGTACTATGTACCGTTCCAAACACTAAGTACCGAACACTACCTAAGTTCCTATCGGAGCACGGGGCCTTATCTATACTAATTCTTATCAAAATTTGTTGGTAAAGTTTTGATTCATAACACAGAATAATAATAATAATACTCCTTGTTTTCACAATCAGAAATTAAAATAATTAAATTACAATTACTTCAAACAATAATTATCATCCGTTTTTCGAGTACCAAAAGAGTCAATCATTAAAGGTGCAGCCATTCCTTGTGGATATATTCTATACATTAAATTACGAATTAAACCAGCAAATCTTTTAGAATATCTTCTTAATGGAGCGCTGAGTTTTTCAACATCCTTTAAAAATTTTTGAGAAATTTTTTAAAAATAATTTTTAATTTTTTTACTAATTTGCTCTCTAATACTTCAAAAATTAATAAAATGCTCTAATTAAAGCCCTAGGCTTTACATTTCCAATAGGTCATTTTGATTGGTTTATATTTGATACAGGCTTTTACTATCAGAGACTTGGAGTTTATTTTTTAATAGGCCTCCATGCATGGGCTTATATTAAATATAGGCTTCTAATAGAATCGGGCTGTAATTATAACATTCGCGGCATTTTTTTGTTTATTTATTTTTATAAAATATAGTAATTTTGTCCACTGTCCAAAATATTCGTAAGATCATTTAGTGTCGTCCTTTTTCACAGCTAATTCCAAAAAAGAAAATAAATCCCTAGTGGCTTATGTATGTAAATATAGTCCCCAAAAAGTGTGCAAAATATATTTTTTAAATGGAAAAAAAAAACTAAAATTTTTTTGAATTAAAGGAAGCTTTTTTGGGTATTTTTGGAATATTTTGCTTTTTAATTAAAATTTAAAATTATTTTAATTTTTTTAATCATCGACCATAAAATCCAAAATCCCAAAATATCCTTCTTATCCCTAAATCTTGGATATCAGGAGATTGGAGGGATTAAGAAAGACATCAAGGAAATACCAAATATCCTACTCAAAGAAATCACTATCCTTAATAAGTTTTAAAATAATAATTTTACTTTGGGTATTCCACCAACAAAAATATCAGAATTTGTTCGAATATTTCCAAGCATAAAACTTTTTTGTTTGTCTAATAAACAAAATAAAATTTCGTCGTCAAGCTGGATTTTAATATTTTCCCAAGCCTGGCATAAAAATATATTTAATTATAAAGATAAGAAAGGTTAATATGGAATGATTATATTTGGAATGGTATTATATCTAGGATTCAATAAAGGATTAAGATCTAAGACTCTTAATTTCTCGATAGCTTCCCTATATCCATTTTAGAGATCTAGCCGACCCGATTCCTGAAAATCGGGAATTCCAGACGGTTTTTGAGTAGGCACCATAGGATTGAAATTGGATTCCATTACTATTGGATTCCATTTACCCCTCTTAACCTCCTCCTTAAAATGCCAAGATATCCTTCTTAACCTTAGTGGATAAAGGAGGATAAAGGAGGATATCAAGGGTACTGATCCAACCCAAAAAATGACATTTGTCTCAGCCTTACCCATCTCTAATATGATTAATTATTTATTTACTTGAAATAAGGTAAAATAATGCCACTTTCCATCATCTACTTTAGTTTCCATCAAATAAATATTGTGCCTTTTAGGTGGAGTAATTTCAATTTCTCCAATTCTGAATTCAACGAGAATATAACTTTCGAGTATACTAATTATAAGAAAATTGTGATTAATTGCCCCTATAATAATTTAAAATTAGAAGAAATTAGTATTTTTAAGAGGTAATTGAGTTTGAAAATCCGAAGGAATCTAAAGCTTTGCCCTAATAAGTTCAATGACATAAGTTCTATTTTTCTTTAAAAATTTTTCTGCCATATTAGGCTTATGTGCTTGTAGTATACTCAGGGTGACCCTTTCCAAACCACTAAAATAGGGCGCAGCCACTCAAAAATCTGGCAAAAATAGGGCGAAAATGGTCAAAAATAGGGCAAAAAATAGGGCATTGTTTTAAAAACTTAAAAAATAATTAAAATTATAATACAAAGCTTTATTTCATATATTTCTCACTAGTTTAAACTAAATTAAGTAAATCTGGTTCAGAATTAGAGGTAAATAAGGGATAGACAAACCTGAAGTGTACAACCATTTTTTGCAATCATATATCGAGATATCATTAAGAATAGCAGTAGTGTATATCAGGGCTCGCACCGACAAAATCACTGATTCCCGAAATCGGGGATCTTATTTTTATGTAGGTGCGATCCCTGGTATGCATAACATTCCCTTAAAGTTGTAAGGATTCTCTTGTAAGGATTCTCTTTTCTTAAAGTTCTTCTTTCAGCGCAGCAGGCGAAAATTTTGAGAATTTTTGAAGACCAAGTCACCTGTTTTCTTCCTCTTTTAGCGCCGCAGGCGAAAATTTTGAGAATTATGGAAGGTCAACGGTCAGATTTCTTCATTCTTCTGCCATTTCGTTACGAAATGCTAAGAATTGTAAACATTTTTCAAAATAGTAAAAATAGGGCAAAAATATGGTAATTGAAAAAATAGGGAAAAAATAGGGCGAAAAGGTCAAAAATAGGGCAAATGCCCTATAAATAGGGTAAAAGGGTCACCCTGAGTATACTTATAATATTCGTAAAAATATTAATGAGTTTTATTCGTCTTCAAAGTCTGTGGGAGGGGTAGAGGGATCATATTTTTGGCAACCATAAAAAATTTAAATGAGTCTATTCCTATTGAAAAATTAATTGTTATTTTTAGTTAATTCACCATCATCAGTATAAAGAATTATTGCGTTTGATTGATGCGTTTTAAATTCAAATTTAATTTCATTTTCGAATGTTTGAGCCCATTTTGGATATCTAAATTATACATAATTTTTCTCTTTTTTATTCTCAAGAACCTAGCAAAAGATTCACGTCCACCAGATAAAATTAGCGCTTTAATTGATGAAATAAACACCATAATTATTAAAATAAAAAAGGTTACTAAATAATTATTTTGAGCAACAATAAAAATTTTTAACATGTGAATATTCCCCTTAAAAGCTAAAAAAATTGGCTCCTGTTCAGATTACACGTCCAATGCCACCTTTACGCGTCCAATCAAATTTTATGCGCCCAATCATATTATCACGAACCTGATTCTTCATTTGGAACAATGGTCCGGTTCGTGCGGGTGTAAATAATTCAAGGTGAGAAAATCTCTCTATTTCCTTAGATTTTATGCTACTAAAATGAAGAACCGGGTACTTAAAAATGTGATTTGACGCATAAAATTTGATTGGACGCGTAAACAATTCATTGGACGCACAAAGGTTGATTGAACGCGTAATCTAGAAAAGAGCCAAAAAATTTTCTAAATTATTTTTAAAAATTAGTAAAAATAATCGGAACACTCATAAATTATTTAAAACAACACTAAAAGCATAATAGTATTTATGCCTGGCCAGAAAAAAAATAAAAAGCTTTTGGCTAGTAATTGTTGTTTTTCTAGCAACCTAGAAGTAAATAGAATATTATTTAGAGGGTTATATATTTAGGGGGCAGGTGTGGAATTATTTATTTGAAAGGGTATAAAGTTGGAATATTTTTGAGAAATATGTGTTGGATATAGGTCATGCGTTAAAAATTATTTTAACAAATTAAATAAAAGTATTATTAAATAAAATTTAAAAAATGATAAAAATTAAAAGGAAATAAAAAATAAAAAGCTTATCCAGGAGAGTTTCTATTTTATTTTTTCAAAGTTTATTTGTGTTCGATAAAGTAAAAATATCAGAAAAATTACGGGAGGAGTCCAAGGTACCGCGAGCCCAAGGTACCGCCGAGCTATAACTTTGTTC